TAGACCCAGGTCGTGGGGGACCCACACGGATCACTTGTTTCATGCACTGGAACTTCACCTGATCCCTCCTGATTGCCGTTCTGCTTGATACCACTGAATCCATGCCGCAGGGCTCACTGAGACTACGATCCAGTCAGGATTTATTTGCACATGTGTCTAAGTATTCACCTGTACAGTTTCCATGGCTAGGCAACCACAGGCTGCTTTCCAGTTGCACGTGCTTTTCATGCTCTTGGGTTCTTTCTTTCTTTCTGTTGCTTTTCGTTTCTTGAGGCCTTTCTTTAGGTTTCAGGTGCCTTTCAGACAAGGGTGCGCCGGTCCAAATCGGCTTTACTTGAATGCCAAAGATGGCAATGCCTTCGGGCTACCCTATGCCACCCTCCCCCCTACCTCCCTGCCCCTGGCCTCTGTTGCTATCCCACCCGCTGTTTAGGGTAGCAGAAGGAAATCGCACTCAACACACTTGTGTGTTGGTGCCTTTCCTTCTGTTTCTCCTGTCCTACTCCTAGCTACCCGGGCGGTTTAAGACAAAAGTCCCGCTCGCTAACTACTTTCATTTAACTAAGTGGGCCTCGTCACTATACCTATCTTTCTTTCTTGCCCTCTTCGTGTGCTTTTGTTTTGTTTTCTTTGTTTGTCTTTCTAAGGCTTTTTAGGTGGCTATAGTAATCCTCCGGCGCGCCAATATCGGCGCTATGTGTACAAAGCTGTTGCACAAAAAATCGTTTCACGCAAGGGGTGCAGAGCGCCGATTGCGGCACAGTGTGTGTGTGTTAACACCTGTTTCCAAGGTTTGTGCCTGGTAAGTCTGCCGTAGATTCCACTAGAAGGCTGGATGCTACTAGCAGCTTCTGGCCTTGCTACTAGGAACCAAACTAAAACTAAAACAGCGCGAGTCAAAAAAGAGGCAGGGGGTCGCTGGGGATTCGTGCAGTCAGCGACCAACGAAGATGCTGCACGTTTCCTGTGATATGAGTCGAGGACGCTCGACTCACGTACCTGCATTTTTCCAAACTGGTCACAAGCTGTCCAATGCGTTGTTTCCTGCAGTAAAGGGCTAATGCATTTCCCCACCTTGTTCAACATCTACAATTTCGCCGACTCCATCACCTTTCGGTTTGTGCTGCTTTCCGTTCTTCAAGTCAAGGGGGACTTCATTCTGATCCTAGCTCTTGCGAGCAACCGTCTAAGTGTGCCCCCCCTCTGTTTCAAAGAGGGTAAACTTGCTCACCGCCACAGCAGGGGGGACGGGTCACCACCGATACTGCCCGTCCAACGAAGAGGGTATCGGCTGGTGCTGAAGCAGTGGAGGACGCTCCACTGGGTACCTGCATTGAACGCAATGACACCAATGGTCCACCCTGCCGCTGTTCGTTGGTTCCATGGCTTTTCTTCACGATACTTCCCCCAAACCCTGGGTTCTGCCGCTGCGCCGCGCCGTTCTTTTCGCCACCGCTGATTTCTGCAGTCACGCACAAACAACTTGTTCAACCTTTCAAGTGAACTGACTTTCTCGCCATGCCGTTCCCTCATTCCTTTCGGCCTGGGAATTGAGTCAACTGAAAACCCATTGTCAAAGTGTGTGCTGCTGTGCCGTCCCACGTGGGTGCACAGTGTGATCCCCGTCACTGGGGCGCTGATTTCATGCCGGACTGCCACTATAACTGACGTTTCTGCTTTCTGCACTCGTTGGATTATCTTAACTGATTTTCGTTTCACCACTGTATTCTCAAAATCTACGCCGCCGGGCTTCACGGATGTGCGACTGAATTGTGACGGCTTTGCGACGGAATTTTCATTTCGCTGCTAGCTTTCAATCTCAGGATTGTGAAGAGTTTCTTTCCACATTTCACGTCATACGACAATAAGGTGCTTACTTTTGAACAGTTTTGCCAGCCACTTGCATGTCGTTTGGGACACGCAGCAATAGACTGCCAGAGATTTTTGAAGTCCAAAAAAGCCGCCACCATCGCCACCTGCGCCGAATCGGCCTCGTGTCTGTGTGCCCCCCCTCTGTTTCTAAGAGGTTAAACTTGCTCACCACCACAGCAGGGGGGACGTGTCACCACCGATACTGCTCGTCCAACGAAGAGGGTATCGGCTGGTGCTGAAGCAGTGGAGGACGCTCCACTGTGTACCTGCATTGAACGCAATGACACCAATGGTCCACCCTGCCGCTGTTCGTTGGTTCCATGGTTTTTCGTCACGATACTTCCCCCAAACCCTGGGTTCTGCCGCTGCGCCGCGCCCTTCTTTTCGCCACTGCTGATTTCTGCAGTCATGCACAAACAACTTGTTCAACCTTTTAAGTGAACTGACTTTCTCGCCATGCCGTTCCCTCATTCCTATCCCGCCGTCGAGCTAATCCAGCCACAGGGCTCGACCGTTGTGCGCCCGAGAGGGCACATCACAAACAGTAGTAGTAGTAGTAGCAGCAGCAGTAGTAGTAGTAGTAGCAGGAGTAGTAGTAGTAGTAGGAGGAGTAGTAGTAGTAGTAGTAGCAGTAGCAGTAGTAGTAGCAGTAGTAGTAGTAGGGAAAAGTGTGGGTAAATAGATGTAAATAGGTTTCAAAGAGTCCCATCATATCTATCCACATTCACCATGGATTCTCTAAGCCCTTCGCTCCGTTCGATGCCAGGCCGGAGTGCCCGGCTCCAGCGAGTTCGACAGCTACTCCGCCAAATTGGAGAAGTCGGGAACACCCAGCGCCCAGGGTCGTTGGATGGGCCAGCAGCCCGTGTTGGAGCGAAGCAAGGTTCGCAGATGCATGCAAAAACCCATGTAAAGACGCCTTTGTTGGAAAAAGGTGAACCAGTTGCTTTCCAGAATACCTGACGGGGTCCGTATATACATTATTGTTTGTATACGGTAGATCATCCACGCTTTTCCCAACGAGAACCTTCCAACACCCACTAGTCTTCACGCTTCTGCTTGTGCTAAGGACCCGTAATGAGCGGTTAGCTCAGCAGGAAGATGATACCAAGAAAGCGCTCAAGGTGTGAAGTGCTTCTCGCTCACTCGAACTTTGTTTTCCAAACTAAGCCTGGCGAGGGATAGGAAGGAAGAGGGGTGTGGATGGTGCGGCGGCAGCGTTTGCAATGGATTTTGCACTGGGGTCCCTTCTTTGGGTGGTTCCCCTTCACAACCCAGCTACACTCTACCCGCCTCGATTATGGAGCATTGTGGGATGTCAACTTTATTGGTGCCTGGATCCTCTTGCGGCTTTGCAGGGTCCCTGGATCCTTCATGCAAGTAAGATTCTGCTGTGGGTCCATCCCTTTTGCACACGCTTCTGTGAGATACTGAGGAACATCAAATCACTTGCAGGATTTGATGGGCTGCATATGTTTGTCAAACAATCCTTCCTTTTAGGCCATATACCTTATACATCCTTATACCTTCCTTTCTCATGCCATTCTAGAAACATTCTATCCGATTCTTGTGATGCTCAACACCCACGTGACAACCTATCCTATTTTGGACCGATCGCTGGTAGAGAATGTCTGGTACCGATCGGTGCGAGATCCCAGTTACAACCGAGTGTACATATACATATACCTTGTGGGTTCAGATACCCATTAATGTTGCATCCCAAACGCTCCAATCAAGCCTTCTTGGTCCCTCAAAATCTAAGGAGTTGAGAGTGCAGACTCCTCCATATTCTGGTCCAGCCCCCTACTGAGGAGATACCCATCGTCTGGGATAAAGTGGCATCCAGATTGTTTGGACCCTGTCGAAATGGCTGCCTTGTAGTTTGGGGTCATGGCTACACAGTTGGCTTTGCCGCGACTCGCCAATTGCCGGTTTGCCTGACCAAAGAGAAACAAGTTTGTCAAAGCTTGCGCACCTCGCCAGGCGGTGAACAAGGGGAAGAAGGAGAAGAAGAAAGAGAAGAAGAAGGACAAAAAGTCGTGGATAGCTCAGGTCCTTCCACCTGTTTGCCGGGCCTGTTTGCGGCAGACAGGAAGAATTTGGAGGGCTGTAAGAGATGGCAGGTTTGCTGCACCTTCAAACACTACAGATTTGTATTTCCCAATGGGAAGCATCATTTCTTTGGCTGTTCTGAGGCTCTATTTAAAACACGTGCAATCTGTATGCCTTAGGTGGGCCAACTATGTAGATAGATGGAGATTGTATTGCTATGACATTCAAGAATGTTCATGAACACGTGTTATTGCCTTTATAGGACTAGAGTTTACTTTTGACTAAAGGACCGTTTGTGCAATTAGTTGGAAAGCACAGACTTCTCGGAAGTACAGTAGTACACAGACGAAGACACGAACCTTTGCAGTGTTGTGGGGGGCTTGCCGAATATGCAGACTTGAAGACTCACTTCTTGGTTCGGAGCCTGCACGGTCCCGTTTGGGATCCATCATCAAGCCAAAGACGAAGACACGAAGCGGATCAACAGATCGGTAAAACCGGGTGTTTCGGGGTAGTAAAGTGTTGAATGAAGGTGACAGAGGAGTTGTGTGACTTCTTCATCACTGCCAGCAGCACCCACGCATGCACACACAGAGAGTTCATGTGAGACTGCAAGAGGAGACAAGTAGATTGTGTCTTGAGTTGTTTTTTGTTAATAGCATGAAATGCAAAATGTGTTTCTATGATTTGGAGGATCACTGGTCTTTGTAGGAAGTGGCTTTGCTTTGGTTCGCTTCAGTAAGAATGATGTGTCGTTCGGCTCAAGGATGAGAGCACTTTCAGTAAAAGCCAAATGTTTTTTGTTGTAACACACAACCGGTGTTACAAGACCTGAATGGATAGAACACAGAACCGGTTCCAACCGGGACACGAGGACAAGCTTCTCCGGTTGTCCTCAAAGAACGCCGGCCGTTTCGACCATTGAGGAAACCTTCCAAAGAGCAGAAATCGATTCAACATGATCCCGGCACGACCCCAAACAATCTGTCTAAGAGACCCCTACATTTGCCACACTGTTTGGGGAGTTAAGCAAACTGTTGCAATGTGCACTTCAATTCAGACTTGTGTTTTTTCTTCTGGTTTTGGCTTCATGTTGCTATGGAGAGCTGTGGCAATGTGTGCGACTGGCTACTTTGTGGAGAGTGGCCAGATCCTGGACCAGGTCTGCTTTTGTCCACCACCTTAGCCTTTAAGATAGTTTAAAATCCTCTATTAAATAATTAGTTCAGAAGGAGGAGACGCCGTTGGGAGAAGGGAAAGCAACGGTCTTGTAGTTTTCCCGTATTTTTGTTCCGAAAAGAGCAATCCTGCGCCAGGTTTGTGCCAAGAACCAAGTTCGAGTTGTAGCCGCAAAGATTTTCTGGAAAGCCTTGGTTCTATTTTGCCTCTCGAAGAGCAAGAACAACCTTGGTTCTATTTTGCGGGTGATTCCACAGGCCGCCAGCTGTGGGCTGCTTTTCTGAAGGACGTGGCGAAGATCAACCTTGGCAACTTTGTGCAGGTCAAGACACGAGTCTCAAACTGCCCCAAAACCCCACCACCGGACAAGCGTTTGCAGAGATTTGTCAATGCAAACGCAAGGCAAGTAGATCTGCAACCAAACTGGACATCGGCAGGGGATCGGATTTGTGATTGGAATGTAAGCTTTGGCCAAAGATCGGTGCGTGTCACCTATGACTGGCGCCGCTTCATCAGCGACTCCACCAATGATTTACATGTGTTGGAAGAGGTGGCAAAAGCAGGAAGATGGCCTACAGCCTGGGTGGTGATTTCTGGTGTGCATGATTGCTATTATCTCCGACGGAACTTAGCGTTTCAAGCTTCCTCCACGAAGGGCTTCTTTAGTTTCTTGGAGCAGCACCCTATCTTGAAGAGTCGTACGATTATCGTGGGCATGGAGTACATGGTGGACAAGGATGAGCACCCAAAGAAAAAAACGCAGAAAGTACAGGTCTTCTCGTGGTCCAAAATCCTTGTACAACTGTTCGCGGAGACTTCACAATATGATGCTAGAAGGGGCCCGAGAACATGCAGTGTATATGATTCCACGTTGGGGACTTACACGGAGCTACGCGGATAAAGAAGTAGTCAACAGTGTGCATTATCCGGAATCAGTCATTCTAAATGAGTTGCCATCACTACTGACTGGTCTTTCTTGCATTGCCAAAGGCAGGCAACATGGTCAAAGCCAAAGCATCTTGCCCTTGATCACGGCACCGTTCTACACCGGTCCGCTGCTTCTCCTTTACTTCCTCATGACGGTCGCAGCAGCAGTTTGTGCGCTGCTCGTCGTGCATCGCGGGAGGAGATCCTGGCGGGAAAGAGCTCTACCAGAGGGTCCAGCCACTCTTGGTGCGCGAGGGCGACAGCACGACGCTCAAGAGGCCAAGTGCACTGAACAGGAAGACGACTGAGTTTTCGGTCATAGCACTTGGCGCCGTACTAAGCAGGGTTTTTCTGTGGTCTTGTTCCCAGGTTCTTTCTGATCGGTCAGTAGCCACGTTTCACGTCCTGAGACAACCAGCCGGACCCACGGGCCGGCATGGACCGACGGGACCGAGCGCTGGAGATTTCAGCAGAGCCTTAAAAATTAAGGCGAGGAAGAACCACGACTCTGGCGGTGAAAACGACTCTTGAGAGCAGACTGACTGGCGGAATGCGGAATGCAATCCGAAGCTTCAGTTTAAGAAGGGAGAAGATATCTCAAGATAAAAGCACCAAGATTGCATGGTGATCGCTTTCGAACTATATACCCGAAGTAAGGTCGGTGAAGCGGACGGCGGATGGGGCCGTCCTGGCACAAAGCAGCCCGGCGACCTGGGAGCAACATGAAGAAATCAGCTACAGACCATCTTAGATGACATCAGGCAGACATTGATGTCTCTCTTGCTTTTAAGAAACAACATCCATGATTTGAGCGGTTTGGCGTTTGGCGTTCCAGTGTTGTAGCGGTATCATGCTATATAATACGGATGCATTTGCATGCTCGCCAACTGGAGGTTTTGGTGAAGCTTTGATCCTATAATAGAGGGTCATACTGTTGCAATGGAACAATTTGCAACTTTTGCTATCAACATCTGCAGCACAGACAATGACCACGTGTCTCACGTGAGGTGGCGAATCCGAGTCTGAAAAGGAAGATGCCCTGTTGGCACGCTACAAGCTCCTTGGACTGGGTTCATTTCCCCCACGGCCTTGGGCGTCAGCCCTGTTGGCTGCATAGCGACCCTCTTCCCCCCATCGCATTGGCTTTTCATTGGCCTTGTGCATTTAAGCATGCAGAAGTTCATTTCTTTAGATGCCATGTTGATTGAAGACAACTATTGCTACTTGCAGGAAATGATTTCAATGATGTCAATGATCCAATTGCCGATCTCTAAAAGTTAAAACTAAACATGTAAAAATATAATATTTATATATACTACATATATATAATATATATAATATATGATCTCTTCTGTTCTTTTCTGTCCTTTGCACGAAGCGATTCGTGTGTGGTTTCGGTAGAGTGGGGCTTGAAGTGGGAGGGGGCTCGATAGAGTTCGACCGTTGGTAACCGAACACAATAATGGCCTATCCCTATTTCGAGCGTCCGATAACGGCCCGGAGAGCCTTGGCACGGTTCGATTGTGGGACGCGGAGCTTTCGCCATTTTTTTTTCACAAGCTAATGAGAGTGTGTCTTATGGCCTTGATGCCTGGTATGTCTCTCTGGATTCCATGTTTGCTATTAATATATTAAAGTGAAGTTCCAAGCGGTCGAATCTAGCTGCTTTGGGGGGAAATTGCGAATAGGGAGATTTACGAATTGATACATAATATTTCCTTACAATCGTAGAATGCCTTGCAAAGGATCGTCTAGGATTAATTTTTGTTATAAAATGTTTTATGTTCTTCTCCCCTCCCTTGGGACATTAGATATTTATTTTATAGAGGTTTTTTTTTGTTTTAGAATTAAAATGAAATTCGCGCGCGCCTATGAATACGATTTTTTTTGATTGGGAGATTTCTTGGAGAAGATTATAAGAAAAATAACCTAAAATGATATTGGTTAGATTTGGTTAATAATTGGGTATACAAAGAGAAAGATTTAAAAAAATATAAGAAAATATAACAAATTTGAAACAAAATATGTTGAATTGTATATTTTTGTTGCTTGGGGCGATGGCGCCTAAAAAATGAAAAGGTATTTCGTAATTATTGTTTTAATATTATGATTTTTGAGGATTAGGTTTAATAGAATATTTTTATAAAGAATTTATGGTAAATATGATGGCTTGAGGATTGGATTGACCAATTTATATTATTTAATATGGTTTATAGGATTTATTCCGGAGAATTATTATGATTATATATTAAATATGATTTTAATATTAAAATATACATATATAAATAAATATAGTATGAATTAACGTCCGGGTGTTATCGATTCGTAATTGAAATAAACAAAAAATAAAGATATTTGCGGAATAAGTAGTATATGTTGCATAAGTGTATTTTTGTTTTATTTGTTTCGAGTAATGGTTGGCGATGCGGGGAAGGTAGAAGAATGAATAAATAGTTAATGAAATGAAAATAAATGATATTAATAGGTATGTTAAAGGAAATGAGGAGGAATGAAAAGGATATAATAAAGGATTAAAAGGAAATTGTCTGAATAAATATGTAAAGGAAATATATAAAAATTATAGAAAACGACGTTATGCGGGTGTGGTTTTTACGCGTTTTTGTGATTTGTGGTTTTCTGTGTTTTTTTGAAAATGTTAGTTGTTTTGAAGAACGTGTCTAGCAAAAATGTCGATTTGTAATTTGTTAAATTTCTCATCAATCTGATTCAAACATATTAGTTCTCATTGATTCCCACACAGAAGTCCATCAACCATCATCTATTAGCAAGT